AGAAGAAATAGAAGGAGGAGGAGAATAGGAGGAGGAAGAGAAGAAATAGGAGGAGGAGGAGAAAGAAGGAGGACAAGAGGAGGAGGAGAAGAGGAAGAGGAAGCAGCAGCAGCATGGACTTCAACTCCTAGAATTCCCCAGCCAGCTGTACCCTTTCAAGAAGATATGGAGAAGAAATAGGAGGAGGAGAAGGAAAAAGAGGGGGAGGAAAAGGAGAAGAAATAGGAGAGGAGGAGGAGAAGGAGGAGGAGGAGGAGGAGGAGGAGGAGGAGGAGAAGAAAGGAAGGGAAGGGAAGGGAAGGGAAGGGAAGGGAAGAAAGAAAACCCAATTAAGTCCAGTTGTCTCTTGAAAAAGCTCTTTTGGGACAACCCTGACCCGGATGACTGAGAATCTCCACAGATATTTTAAAAAGTAACTATGATTGTAGGGAGAAAAATCACATGGAGAACTGGGTGTTTGCCACATATCGATGTTTCTCAACTTCGGACAGCTTGATGACACGTGGCCTTTAGCTTAGTCTACGTGGCTTAAAGCTGTCAAGAATGAGAAATTCTGCCAGAGATTGTCTTAAAGCATCAAGAACTGTCGCCTTTATTTTCCCTAACGGTTAAGTTATTGCACTGAATCTGAGCTTCGGCTAAAATGTCTGAAACAAAAGACAGATTTGGACTTTTAAAAACAAAACAAGTTCAGAACAATTTCAGGAAAACAGAAAAACGGTTCAAAATCCTTACGGGTGGCTTTGATCAGGTATCCTCACTGACTGGCTGATCCCCAATGCGAGCAAGGCCTGTATGTGAAAAAGGAAATGGGGCAGAGACCCCCACCAGCACATTATTCAGCGTCTTGAATTTCAGTTCACATGAAACAAAAACAGGTCAATTTGATATTTAATTTTAGAAGGTTTCACCAGAGGAAAGCAACTGCATTAAAGTCTATCAATTTTTACAATCGTGGAAAGGCCATGCAGGTAATCCTCAAGTTACAACAGTTCATTTAGCGACTGTTCGAAGTTACAACGGCACTGGAAAAACATGACTTATGGCCATTTTTCATAGTTACCACCTTTGCAGCATCTGAGATGACCCGGGGCGTGACACAAAAATAACCAAGGCACAAAAATAGAATAAAGTTCCTTTAATGCCTCCAACTTGGCCCCAATGTCCAATTATCCTCGGCTGGAAATCAAATTCTAAAAGAAAAGAGTTTACGGAGGGAGTAAATGCAGTCTGCAACTAAAGTAAAGTTAATTCGAAATAAAAAACCCAACACAAACCACACTGAAGGAATTACTACGGCAAGCAAGGATGATTAATTGCAGACTTTTACTAGATAATGCAGCCACCCCAGTTGGGAGGAAGGCAAAACAGAGATAAGCGCTGACAAGAATAAAATATGCTTTGCTTCCAGCAACTTTGCCATGCGCAGTTTGTCCTTTTAAGCAGTCCTCCCAGCTGCAGCCCATGAAGGGGATCAGGGCCCCTTCCTCCCCCGTAAACTATGCCATTCACGTTTCTCCCTTATCCTCCCTGTGTGCCCTAGGATGAAGAGGGGATGGGCCTGGGTCTTCCTCTGACTGCCCAGCCAGCCTGTGCCCTTCCCCAGTTTCCTCCACAGTCACCGAAGCCACATTCCCATTCTCCGTTCCTCTCTCTCTCGGAGTCAGACTCCAACAGGGCCATGACAGCATCCCCATTTGGTCATGTGATCAAAATTCAGATGCTTGGCAACTGGTTCATACTTACGACCGCTGCTGTGTCCAAAGGTCATGTGGTCCCCTTTTGCAACCTTCAGACAAGCAAAGTCAATGGGGGAACCCGGGTTCACTTAACAAGCCGGCTACTAACGTATCAACGGCAGTGATTCGCTTAGGAACTGGCAAGAAAAGTTGTAAAATGGGGGCAAAACTCACTGAACAACAGAAATTTGGGGCTCAATTGTGGTCATAAGTTGAGGACTACCTGTACATACAGCACACTGTATTTTGAGAAACGGTCAGGATCTCCCAAAAACCCCGAAAGCATCAAATAATCGTAAAATTGGGGATAAGAATATTAAGTTAGCCGCCAAGACTCTGACCCTCTAAAATTGAACACTTCCTGTCACTTTTGCCCCCCATTTTTCATTGACCCATCACACACCTTACACCCACCCCTCACCCAATGAAACTCAGAGGTAAATCTCGAGACAGCTGTCAGGTTTCCAAGGGATGAAATCCATTTTAAAAAAAAAAGAGCAAAGTCCCATCTTCCAAAATACATTTCTTTTATTTAGGTAAAGCATCAAGTTGGCAAAATCTTTTGTAATTCCGGATCTGAACACAACCCAGAATTACACGACATAATATTGAAAATTAGAACCAGCCCCCAAAACCCACACCCCCCAGGAGAAGTTAAATATCGGGGGGGGGGGGGGGGGGACCGCCAAGGTCAGACTCCTGTGTTCGCCCCTGAGCTGCAGATAATCCTGTTCTGTTCTGTTGCGAAGTCCAAAAGTTTGGAGAAACCCAACCGCTCGCTGCATCCTGTCAACTCCCCGAGAAGCACAACACGGCAAAGTGCTACTTACTTGATTGCAGGTATCAGCTAAGGAATGTATGGCTTCGGAGAACATGCTGGCAGAACCTGTGTAGACCCAGGCGAGGAGCTTAAAGAAAAAATTCAGGCCATTTCTGTGGAAGGAGGAGAAACTATCGTCACAAGGTGGTAAAGACACACTCACAATTTGGAGGGAGGGGGGAGGGAGACTCCACAAAATACACAACGACCACCCTTGCTCTTGGATTGACAAATGAGATTACTGAGATTCACAAAGCCATGCATCTGGGGATGAGGAAGTCAAGTGGGAGAACTATCAAAATGTTGAGTAGGGGTCCAAGTGCAGAAAGCCCCTGAGCCACAGAAATTCAAAATACACGGCAGCCTCCACCTTCCCAGTACTGTGCAAAACCCCTTCTGTTTATCCACGCTGGGCACCGTGGTCTGCTCCCCCAGCCTTAACCGGATCCCCAATAGATGGTTGCCAAATCAGGTTAAAAGAGAAAAAAGAAAGAAAGAAATCTGGGCAGCATTGTGACTGTACTGTTAAGCCTGGATTCCCCAACGGGTGTTAAGGAAAAACAAACTAAACAGAACGTGCAGCGAAGTCAGATAGGCAGACAGGTAAATGTGTGAGATAAGTTTTCTAGTTAACACGCAGTAAAAATACAGATGCGCTTGTGCTATCAAAAATATTGTTTATTCCATTTAAGAATTATAGCATAGTCAAATAAACAGTCCATTAGTCATATATCAATTTCAGTCAAGTCTTGCCGGGGATACTCTATTTGCCAAAGTCCGTGTTGAATAGCCAATGTCAGTTCACTTACAATAAATCAGTCCAATCTTTTTACTATCTCTCCGTTGAGAAAAATCAACACTCCTTCTTCTCTCCCCTTTTCAGCAAGAACGCAGTCATCAATCCATTCAGTAATTAGTGATCAGTAAGCCAGAGAGAGCGAGCAGCAATGCTGCCTCGCTTCTTATATATTGCTTTTACAACCATACCCTTAATTACATTCTTGCTGTTAAAGTTACACACACTTTAACTAACAAACCATGATACCATATTTATTATTTTTACCCAAACCGGTTAGGGTAAACAATGTTATCCCTAACATGTACCACGTGCGGGGAAAAGAGCAAAAGTTGCACGTGAGAAGGGAGCAAAAAAATATGCTAGCCAACAACGGTTCCTGCTTTCCAAAAAGCCTTGTTTTGAGAAATTGGAAAGGCTCCACCTGCACTGGATCTTTCTCCGGTTTATAAGACAGCAAGCACGTTTGGACTAAATCCTGAAAGCACTGCCTTAAATAACAACGTGAAAGCGATGCAAACATGGTCCAATAATTTGCAGGGAAAAAAATATGTTAATTAGGATAGGGCTGGAAAGGACCTTGGAGGTCTTCTAGTCCAACCCCTTGCAGGAGACTCTATACCACAGGTAGCTTGTCTTTGACTCTTTGGTGCTTTCTGGCCCCTTTTACTTACATAAAAAGTGCCTTAAGCCCTTACAACTTGCCTCCACAAGTTGTGGGTGCTCCAACACTGGACATTTTAAAGAAGAGATTGGACAGTCATTTGTCTGAAACAGTATAGGGTTTCCTGCCTATGCAGGGGGTTGGACTAGAAGACCTCCAAAGGTCCCTTCCAACTCTGTCATTCTATAGTCTAATATTCTAACTCAGCCAACCTTGAAGCTTTCCTTTCTAAACCGAAATTCTGGTTTCCGATACAGCATTACGTATGACAACACAATAAAACAGTGTTGAGCTGTGTTAAGATAAAAGCTTTGCAGGGACTATATTTAAGAGGCATAAACAACCTGAAGAAAAGAAGAAGACGGAGACTTACATGCAAATAGCAACCATCACCACTTTTCCTGGTCCGCTCAGAAACACTGCTGATGCTCGGGAACGTGGCTGAATGAAAGACACAAGCATGTAGCTTAAGACAAACTACACGCTTCCCCGTATGTATTTCACAAAGCAACGGTGATACAAGTATGATTTCAGATATTGCCTACTAGCTGGATACTCATGCTTCGCTACGAAATTATGTGGTGGGTGTTAGGAATGTAAGTCACCTAACAAGTTATTTGGGTTGGAAATATATAAACTAGGACAGACATTTTAATACTATGTCTTTAAGAGCATGCTAAAACTGTAATTGGGTGTGGTTCCTCAAATGGCCATAAGATGGAGCCAGAAACCTGGGTTGCTTAGTCTCAGTGAGTTTCTGTTTCCTTCTGTTGGAGAGACTTGCCGTTCCTCCTAATGACTGTTACTGATCGTTGATGTAAGCCTGTTACTGAGCTGTTTTTGATACTGGACTTTGATATTTGGATTATCCCTGAACTGAACACTGACTGCTTTACCTGTGAATGACTTGGACTGCTTATCTTGGACTGTGCTTAAACGGTTATGAGAAGTAAAAACCTACATTTACTGTACAGTGTATCTGTGTGCTGTTTGTGTGTTATTTTTCACTACTCTCACTACGTCTCCCTGTATGCGCTCATTCTCCTAACGGGGAATTACCTCAACAGTGGGGCTTAGTTTTTTGGGAGGGAAATAAGGTGGGGGGGAGGAATTGTGCCTCTGCCTACCGGCATCCATCGGTATTCACCTGGCTAGGTCCTGTCAATGTGTGAGAGAAACTGCTAGCCAGGAAGATAAATGTTCTAGGAATTTTGAAACTAGGATAGTGGGAGGGAGGGGGCAACTTTTGCTAGGCAGGGAAGGAAAAAGCAATTATTTGGATTTAGATAACAGATTTCACACTCGGTAAAAGACAGTAAAAATTATTAAAGGAACACATATTGCTCATTACATCACTACTTACAAATAAGACATTGCTAGGCTTTTACAACCAATGTTAAAAAAAAAATCACCTTAGTTTCTCCTTGGAAATTTCTGTATTCTCTCAACAACTTCTGACTTCTAAATAATTCTGTAAAAAAAAAAGAAGATGGAAGAAATAATAATACTGACAGCAATAACCACTGCTCTTATGGTCAAGAAAACTGGAAATCAAAGTACCTCAAAAGATCTGAGAAGTGACTATTCCGTCAAAGCTAAAAGGTCTTTAATAAAGAAGAGCCAAGAATTTGTGTAACAGAATTCTACAGCTCTTACAACATTTACAGGAATCAAATCCACTGTGGCCGCCCCCTGTGCAATTTTAGAGTTATTATTGTAAGAGTAAACCTGGCACCCAGACCGTTGTCATGACTCCCTTTAACCTGGCACAATACAGCTAAATTAAAATGAAAGCTTTCCTTCCTTGAGTCCCATCTACTTGTCCCCCTTCTTTACTGCCCCTTTCTAACTTTTTGACAGAGAATAGCATAGCTTGTCCCAAAGGTGCTTTTTCAGGAGGCAACTGGACTTTCTTGCTTTTCTTTGAAGATGTTTCGCTTCTCATCCAAGAAGCTTCTTCAGCTCTGACAGGATAATGGGGAATGGAAGGGTTTATACTCCTTACAGACAGCTGGTCATTTGCATCCTTTTAGAGGGTCGCTGAAGCACTTGGAAGTTTATCTGTGTCCTCAGAGTCACCGGAGTGGTGCTCCTGGTTCCTGTACACTCAGGTGACCCTGAGGACACACAGATAAACCTCCAAGTGGCCTCAATGGCTCTTTTAACCATCCCACAATCCCTTGCTGGGTAGAGTCTAGCTGAGTATTTACTGGCCGGATGCCTTTCCTGTCGCCAATGCGGAGTTTTATTCCGCAGATATATTCTCAATGTGCCCTGAGAGAGAAATATCTGCCTCTAGCTAGGATCGAACTCACAGCGTCCTGATTGTGAGGTGAGAGCTCCACCTCTAGGCCACCCTACCATTCATCAACCCAGCCTCCCTTGCTCCCAATTAAATCTACTTCCAGAAGATCTTAGGAGCCACACACAAAAGCACAATTCCATTAAATACACCGCTGGCTGCCCCGCACAATCAAAACTATGAAGCGCTTCCAGAAGCGTGTTTTACACTTACTTTCCATGTATTCTCTTTCAGCTTCTATGCGCCTTTTTCTCTCTCGGGCCAGAGCTTCGGGGCTTCCCCAGACTTCTAGAGACCTGTTTGACAAAGTGGGGGGGAAAGCTATAGATTCGACTTGCCAACGCTTTGGACTATGGAAAAAAGGGGGAATATGGGATCTGCTCTCTGGAAGGTGAAATACGTGGGTGTGGAAGTAAGACATTTACCTGAGCGAACAAAATAGGAGGTTAGCCAAGCTAAGCTAAGGATAGAAGGGGAGGAGGAGCCTGCTAATTTGGAAAGAAGTTTTTACTCATTCAATCAGATTTCCTCCCAAATGCTGCTATCCGGGTGGCTTGGACGATGGGTTGGGAGCTCTAATGGCAATTTATCTGGATGACAGCAGATATAACACAATGCATCCCTCAATATTTCCCCCTTGGATGTCTTCATTAAGACAGCAGGAGTCAGTGATAGATGCACGAGCTGTGCTTGTCTCTTAAGTGCAGCAGGTTGGAAAAAAGAGAAACCGAAAAGCGTTGTTTATATCAGGGGTCTTCAACCGTGGCAACTTTAACCCTGGAGGACTTCAACTCCCAGAATTCCCCAGCTGGGGAATTCTGGGAGTTGAGCTCCTCCAGGTTTAAAGTTGCCAAGGTTGGAGACCCCTGGTTTATATGGTTTAGCCGAAATGCTTTGGCAATGCTTTTATTCCCTTTTATTTTTAAGATTTTTGTCTGATCTGATGATTGATTGGATGGTTGGGAAGACCCAAATGAAGCATTGTCCATTCCCTCTAAGCCACAAGTGAAAAAATAGTAATAATAATAATCAGTCAATACCCTGGATTCTAAACTCTGGGTTTTATTGCCTGAAGAAACCACAACTAAATGAGAGTCAAAACTGAGCAAGTTAAAACAATTTACCAGTTAATGAGCAAATTGCGTGAACCCTACAGGAAAGCATTAGAAATTAAATCTCTACTTAAGATAACCTTTTCAAAGATGATCTTACTTAGCTTCCACTTCTGATCTCAAAAACACAGTGAAAGCTTCCGTATCGTCATGAGGGCTTCGCCGTTTGATTTTTCTAACCTGGTCGAGATCACTGTTGAAGGAGAGAGGAAAAAAAATTCTTGAAAGAAGCAAAGCAAAGATTATAAAGATGATCCAAGTTCATCATCTGGAAGGGGCATCCATTTTACAGGATCCCAATTGTGACAAGCAGGCTACTATTAAGTCACAAAAACGTTGGCCAAGCACTTTGCACATGTATTTTTTTGCTGACCGGCTGGGAGTTGGATATCCACAGATCTTAAAAGTTGCCACGGCTGGACACCCCTGGTCCTCATGGTTATGATCTTTGTAAGTATTGACACAACCTGGCGCCTGAACTATAAAGAATATTTATCGCAATACTGTGGCGGGATTTATCTCATCATATATTCTGTAATGGTTTATGCTAGAAGATCTCTTCATTCTTTTGTTAAAGAACTTCCTCTTGGTTTTTAACCACTTTGCCTGGAATGAATAGATATGGTTGTATCACTTTTCTCTGCTCTTAAAAATGTAAAAGCTGAATGGGGGGAAAAAGGAAATAAAAAAGAAACAAAGAAATTCTGGGAATTGAACTCCACAGATCTTAAAAGTTGCCAATGTTGGACACTCCTGTTCTAAATTACGATTACTTCTTATAGTAGCATGTTAAACAATTACGGGTTTTCAAGAAACCTCACTTAGATTTTCTGTGTATAAATTGTGCCTGAACAGCCCTTTTTAAAGTGGTACAGGCCTTTAACCTTGGCCACCTCAGTGTCATGCCCTTGTTGGAGTCTGATTCTGAGGGGGAAATTGTGCAGCTGACAGGGAGTGGGAGTGTGGCTGTGGAAGAAACAGGGGAAGGAGACAGTCCAGCTGGGCGTACAGAGGAAGACCCAGGGCCATCCCCTTCATCCTAGGGCACGCAGGGAGGAATGGAGAAGGGAGCAACATGGCTTACGGAAGAGGAAAAGGCCCTGATCCTTTCATTAGTTGCAGCTAGGAGAACAGGATATGTGGGGCATTTTACATAGCTTTTTGCTGGAAGCAAAGCGTGTTTTATCTTGGTCGAGGCTTACTGGGGTTTTGGTGTCTTCCCAACTGTGGTTGCTGCATTATCTTGTGGAAGCCTGCGATTTATCATCCTGGCCTGTCGTGTTAATGACTCCAGTGTGGTTTGTGTTGAGTTTTTTTATTTCTAATTATTTTTACTTTTGGTTCGGACTGCATTTACTTTCTTCGTAGACTGTTTTTTGGAAGAGTTTGGTATCAAGCCATAGATAATTGGACATTGAGGCCCAAGTTAAAGGGAAATTTATTCTACTTTTGTGACTGTGTTATTTTTGTGTCACGCCCTGGGTCATCACACTCAGTCTGGCCACTTCCTACGCTGATAAATACTGTTAATAGCAATCCTGAAATGAAAAGAGAGGTACCTCAGTACTCATCGTTAACTGCTCCTGGGAGGTGTGATGAGAATCAAAAATGATGAGTACCAAACTAATTTTTCTCATAATAATATAATGAGCCACAACACAGCCAAAATTGCCACATTGTAGCTGGTGCATTGAGTACCAAACAAACAATGAGTACAGGGACAAAATTTTCATGTGAAAATGCATCAAGTTTTGAAGCAGTTGAGTACCAAGGTACCACAGAATTTGATTTTTACTCTTGTTAATAGCATTTTGCACCATCCACTCGTACTTGTAAAGTTGCAGAGTAACTTTGAAGAACACGATGTCGTTCAAATTTAAATCTGAAAGATGAACCTACCTGGACTTAAGGCAAAATTCACTTATTGCTCTCACGCCAGTGATGAAGTTATTCTTTGTGTACTTTGGTCCATATTCTCTTTTTTTAAGCACAGCTTTCACTTGAAAAAAAGAGGAAGGAAAAGTATTACACTCGGAGGGTTTCTGGACCTTGGAAAGATACAAGCCGGAAGTCGACATACAACAGTTCGTTTAGTGACCATTCAAAGTTACAACGGCACTGAAAAAAGCGACTTATGACCATTGTTCACACTTATGATCGTTGCAGCATCTCTATGGTCACGTGATTTATATCCGGATGTTTGATAACTGCTTCATATTTGCGATGGTTGCAGCATCCCAAGGTCAAACTTTCTGGCAAGCAACGTCAACAGGGAAGCCAGATTCACTTAAGGACCGTGTTGCTAACTTAACAACCACTGGGATTCAATGAACAAAAGTGGCAAGAAAAGTTGTAAAATGGGGCAAAACTCATGCAACAAATGTCTCGTTTGGCAACATAAATTTTGGGCTCAATTGTCGTCGTAAATCGAGGACTCGCCTGTAACACGTTCGCCAGCTGGATTGAACCCACCAAAATTTTATTCTAATTTGTCACAGAGATCACACATGACAAGACTGTAAAACCTGAAAAGTGAATCACAAACCAAAAGCAGATTCCCAGTCAGAGAGAAGTGGTAATGACAGATTATTATCAATCCAGAATGGACTTATTTAAGAATTAAATCGGATTCGGAGTCTGAATACCCTTGTCGATAAATACAGATGACTGTCTTTGGTAGCTTTATCAAAAAGGGATTCTAAAACCAGCTTAAACATATATGCATGCCCATAGTTACCTTTTACTTGAATTGGTTGCTGTGGGAAAGGAATTTGATTGATAGCGTCTCGGGCTGGAAAAAATAAAAGACATAGTTATATTGCTGTGTTTGTGTCGTAAGAATAAAACAGAAAGATATTGGGACAGCATTATTTGGTAAATGGAATGGACATTGGAAGAAAGCAATTTCAATTTTTCTACATAAATCTTCCAGTGATTTCTTTCCTTCCCCGGCCTCACTATTCCGCAATTCAAATTTTAACTGGTTCACTTCCCACCAAAAAGATCCTTTAAACTGTAAGGACACAACAAAAGAAACACCCATCTTATGGATAGACTGTGGTACTTTGTCTTAATATCAGAAAGAAAAGGAATGAGAGTTCTTTTAGCTCTGAAATAAAAACTTAAGACAATATTACTGATTTTATGAAGAGTAAAATGTATCACAGAGACATGATCAAACATCTTTAATTACCACCCTCAATAATACTGTATTGAGTTATGACCTCAGTAACGAAGCTGATATACTATTGCTGTATTCCCTGGAGTGGGACAGCTGCCATATATCCGCTACTGGTAAATTAAAATTAATTCCACTAAATTAAGGACATTAGGATTTCCCCTCTGAATGGAAGAGTTTGGCAAGAAAGTCTCTTTCTGTTAATAACAAGCATGCTTGACTCATGGCATGAATTAGTAAAAATCAGAAAACGCTCAACAACAACTTGATTTTAAGACAAGAATTTCTCCTTGAACTTGGAGAAAATAGGGTGGACAAGGCAACAATATCAGAATCATGTTTTCCATTAAATAAGCTAAACAGAATAGACCACATCAGTTTTTATTTGTCCCAATACATATTACAAATTTTATTTATTTATTTATTTTGATTTGTCAATCGCTTACAAGATAATAGTTGATAATTGTTGAGCGTGTTTGAAATTGATTTGTTCCCAATAGAAATAATATGTTTTATGAAGCTGAAAGTTGGCTAAAAGTTGCTTTCTGTTCTTATCTTTGCAGCACTAAAATCAGTCACATGTTTTCAACTGGAAAGCCAGAGCTAGAAGCCAAATTTAATTCCTTTCACACTTCCCAGTAGCATTTTCCCCTTGTAAAATGAACAGGGTTTTGGGGGTTTTTTGGAAAAAATTAACATGTAAACTCTGATCAGGAAAACCAGTCACATATCAAGATGTCTTAATTGATTATTGGTCATCCAAGTAGTGTTATGCCTGTATCACAAAAGTTTAACAAAAGCATACTGCTCAAAAAAAAAAGAAAGAAACTAGTCTCACTTATTTAAATAAAGGATAGCCAATCTCAGGGAGTGAAGTCCAAAATATATTGCACAGGTAGTCCTCGACTTACAACAGTTCCTTTAGTGACCGTTCAAAGTTACAACGGCACTGAATAAAGTGACTTATGACCGTTTTTCACACTGATCACTATGGCATCCCGATGGTCAGGTGATCAAAATTCAGCCGCTTGGTAACCGACGGTTGCAGTATCCCTGGTCATGTGACTTTTGTGACTTTCTGACAAGGGGGGGAGCCAGATGCACTTAACCAGCTTACTAACTGAACAACTGCAGTGATTCACTGAGCAACTGTGGCAAGAAAGGTCGTAAAATGAGGCAAAATTCGCTTGGCAAACGCCTCGCTCAGCAACAGACATTTTGGGCTCAGTTGTGGTCATAAGTCGAGGCTTCCCAGTATTTCAAAGTATTGAACTACCATAGGTAAATCAAAAAAGAGAACTTCTAGGGCAGGGGTCTGCAACCTTAAACACTCAAAGAGCCATTTGGGCCCATTTCCCACAAAAAAGAAAACCCTGAGGACCAATAATTTAACAACCGGTGTGATTGGGTGGGCGTGGCCAACTCGACGTCACTCATTCCCACCCAGTCACCACCTAATCTGGGATATGGAGCGAGTCTCCATCCCCCACCATCACCCTTACTTTCTCAGGCCAGGCGAGGAATGATGGAGAGAGCAGAGACCAGTCAGTGGTGGGATCTGTTCTGACCCAGGCTTCATCAAACGTAACACAAAACCTATTTTACTACAACACTGGGAATTACTTTCATTCCCAGCCAGAACAAATTATCAACAGTTCCCCAAGATAAGCACACGCCTGTCAGTGCTATGGAATGCTGCCAAAAACAGAAGTCTCCAATTATAACAGAAACCAACCGAAGTACCAGAAAAAAACCAACCAGAGCTTCAAAGAGGACTCGGAATCTATTGAACTATTTTGCTTCCTGCAAAGCTTTTGTCATTGAGGTCTGACTTTTATCCCTTATGGGAGGGGCAATCACTTCCCAGCTTACTCTCGAGTCTCCCCTTCTGTTTCAGCTGCTCTTGCTTTCTAGCAGCTCTGCGCACACACACAGGGGGAACAGACTCCCCTGGGTCCTCTGCCTCGCTGCTGCCAGACTCCGAAGGTAGCACCCCACTCCCAGATGCCCTGGCCCCATCCCTGCATCAGACACAGGACCATCGTCCAAGTCCTCTCCAGACTCCCTGACTGGTCCCCTTTCTTCCTCACTGTCTGACTCTGCTGCCATCTGCACCAGCTTCTGGTGAACCAAAACAGGATCAGCCGACAGGGAGCCGCAGCAGAGGGCCCAAAGAGCCACATGTGGCTCCAGAGTCGCAGGTTGCTGACCCCTGTTGTAGGGGAAGCAGGATCGCTCTGTAAGAAAGCATCCTGAAACAGCGGTGCCTTCTGCCATCATGGCCAGATGATTCAAAGTTGCAACAAGAGAAACTTCTGGGTTTAAACCTGGTGATTTTAATCACTTCTCTACAGCATTGCTATCAAAGAAATCTCTGGAGCGAATAGGAGCAGCTATACTGACCCCTTAAATGCAGGTCGTGTGAACGGGATTAACCTACCGGACGCTGTTTTCTGTGCATTGCCTTCTGAGGCTGAAGAACTGGCATCTTGAGTCCTTGTGCTGTTCTTCTGATCGTTGGAGGAATATGCTCGGACTTGACTGGTGGGATGAGGCAGAATGGCCAAGAGTCTCCCAGGTTTAATGGGTACTTGCCAGCCTGATGGAAACAGGAAAGCAGATGATAGTTTTAGAAGGCAGAACACCTTTGGTCAATACTAAAAACCAGGTGAGAAGATGTCATGCTATTACGATTATCGAAATGTTAACTAGATGAGCCTAGATGTGATGACTAGATGTGATGACCCAGGGATGTGATGACCCAGGGATGAGCCTAGATGTGATACTAGATGTGATGACCCAGGGCATGGCACAAAGGCAACACAGTCAAATAAGCAAGAAGTGTTCCTTTATTATCTCCAACTTTGCCCCCAATGTCCAGGTTACCTTCAGCTGGAGAAAAACTCTCCCAGGAACAGCCTTTAACTGAAGAAAATTCAGTCCAAAACAAGGTACACACAAACTGTAACTTAAAATCCAAACAAACCAAACTGAAGTAATTAGCTTGACAGGGCAGGAGAACAGATTGCAGACTTGAAAATATGGCAAAACTGACACAGTTGGGAAGAGGCCAGGAATAAGCCATGACTATGCAAGATAAATTCACGTTTGCTCCCAACAGCTTGTTGGGAGCAGCTTGCCTTTTTTATACCATGTTCCCAGCTGCAGCTAATGAAGGGAATCAGGGCCCTTTCCTCCCCCATAAGCCATGCAACTCACGTTGCTCCCTTCTCCATTCCTCCCTGCATGCCCTAGGATGAAGAGGGGGTGGGCCTGGCTCTTCCTCTGAACTCCCTCTCCCTTGCTCTACCTCTCCCTTGCTCTACCTCTCCCCTGCTCTGCCCAGATGGACTTTGCTCTTCCCCAGTTTCTTCCACAGCCAAGGGAGCCACACTCCCACTCCCTGTCAGCTGCTCAGCTTCCCCCTCTGAATCAGATTCTGACAAGGGCATGGCGCTAGATGAGCTCAAAATTTAATTTTTTTTAAAAAAAAAAAAGTCAAGAAAAGAACTAATCAGGCATTGTTTAATATGCTCCAGTCTTCCCTACGGTGTAATTTGAGGATTTATACTGGGTTGCTTATGAAGCCTGGTACCTAATGGAAGCCGAAGGAAAGCATGTTAATTGTAACACCAATGCCAGAAAAAAAGCCTCTCACTCCAATGTTTTCACCCATGTCTCGCTTAGCAACATCAGTTTTGGGGCCCTCCGTTGTGGTCATAAGTCGAGGACCGCCTGTATGATTTCTAGGAAAAATTACTGCCTGTTAAGATTTCTAGGTTTATTATTTAAACAACTCCAGAAAGGATGTCATTAACCTGCGGCTATGAATGTTTTCACCCATGCCTCGCTTAGCAACATAAATCCAGTCGTAAATCGAGGACTCCCTGTATTAATACCCTTAATCCAGTCGTAAGTCGAGGACTCCCTTATTAATACACTCTCCCCCCCCAAAAAAAACCCACCCCTCCCTTCCTCGACGGCCAAGAGGAGCCCTTGCAGCTCTTTTCAGGCCGGCTCAGAGGTCAGAAAACCCCACACCGGACCTCGGAGCGGCCCCGCCGGCTTTACTCACCGGGGCAAACCGGCGGGCACCGGCTCCCTCCCTCCCGCCGCCGCAGCAGCAGAAGCAGACGCAGCGGGTCCAAGCAGCGCCATCCCTTCCGCTGAGCGGCCAGTGCCGGCAGCATCCTCCTCCCGCGCTCGGGCTACCGGCGAAAGGAGAAGGAGGCCAGCGAGGAAATCGCCTCATGGGTTACTCTTCTTCGCTCGGCCGGCTCTCCACGGAACAACGGACGCCATTTTGGGAAGGCGGAGTCTGTCTCGGAAGCCGGATGTGGGGGTGGAAAGGAAAAAGAAACTCGTGCCCCTCTGTCTTCTTCTTCTCTATGGTCCACCTTGAGGGGGCGCTAAACGCCGAGAGGAGCGAGAAAGCCGTGGTTTTTTTTTCCCCTCTTCCCGCCTACGTCATTTCCTGTTCGTAGTGACGTTGTGGACGTAACCATTCCCTCCCTGGTTTCACCTTGCGGGAATGCTCCTCTCTTTTCTCCCCCCCCCCCCGCCTAAAATGGGACGGGTCATTTTTACCAACAGATAAATCAGAGTTGAAAGGTACCTGTAGGTCATCTAGTCGAACCCCCACTCCCTCGCCTATTCCAAATGCTCTGGAAAAAAAATAAGTTAAATCTTGGTTAGTTTGGTCCCCAGAACGAAGTAGGGCTGTAGATTTGGATAGTGGAAAGCGGATGGGTGGGAGGAAATTCCAGGCAACAAGTCAAGCTTTTTTGCCCTGGGAAAAAAAAACAGGACATCCATGGAGTTCAAAAGCTGTGGGGCTTCATCCCTGGAGGCTTTCAAGAAGAAGACTGGACTGTCCTCTGTCAGAAATGGTGTAGGGTCTCCTTGTTGGGTGGGGGGTTGGTCTAGATGACCCAAAAGCTCCCTTCCAATTCTGGTATTCTACATTCAATGGAACAGCTTGCCTCCGGAAGTTGTGGTAGCTTCATCCCTGGTGGCTTCCAAGAAGAGACTGGACTGCCCTTGGTCAGAAATGGTGTAGGGTCTCCTTGTTGGGTGGGGGGTTGGTCTAGATGACTCACAAGGTTCCTTCCCACTCTGGTATTCTACATTCTGCACCAGACATAACAAGAAGTTGTAGTTGTGACAGATCTTACAGAGGGCGAATTACATGTAATATTCCACAAGGGGGAAGCATTTCAGAAAGAAATTGCTGGTCATTTCTGGCTTTAGGGGGCAGTGCTCACCTCTGTTACAATGAACGTACATGGAACTTGCCCTCCAAGGACGGTAGTGAAAACAGCGTTCGAGATGAGAACTCAGATATAAGTGTGCTAAAATGTTATTGTGGCATAAAAGTGTCTTGCTTTCTTGCATCTGAAAATTCAGGGCCTAATATGGTGAGCATTAACCTGCATGTATACTTTGCGGGACAGGTCTGAAGGCCACAGCAAGTGCTGGCAATCTAAACGGGCCTGGGGCAAATATGTCGGTCCACAGGTCTTAAAAGTGCCAAAGCTGGACACCCTCCTGTACATGGTGTACCCTGTACTCTGTGGAAGCGAAATAGCCCTTAGCGTTTTAGACTTATATACCACTTTATAAAGGGACGCGGTGGCTTGGTGGCTAAGACGCTGAGCTTGTCAATCAAAGGTCGGCGGTGTGGTGGTTCGAATCCCTAGCGCCGCATAACGGAGGGAGCTCCCGTTCCTTGTCCCAGCTTCTGCCAACCTGACAGTTCGAAAGCACGTAAAAAAATGCAAGTAGACAAATAGGGACCCCTTTGGTGGGAAGGGAACAGCGTTCCATGCGCCTTCGGTGTTTAGTCCTGCCGGCCACCACATGACCACGGAGACGTCTTCGGACAGCACTGGCTCTTTGGCTTTGCAACAGAGATGAGCACCGCGCCCGAGAGCCAGAAACAACTAGTACATATTACCTTTTTACCTCTTTACAGCCCTAAATGGTTTAGAGTCAGTATCCTCCTCTTTCCTCCTCATCTTCCTCCTTCTCCAAGATCTGTCATCGGTCATTGCTGATCCTATTTTTATCAACAGCCACATGAAAAAGTATTTTGCTCTCAACAATCTGGGTCCTCCTTTTACCGTCCTTGGGAGGATGGAAGGCTGAGTCAACCTTGAGCTGTTCAGGACAGGATCGAACTGCTGGCAGTCAGCAGAATTGGCCTGCAATACTGCATTCTAATCACTGTGTCACCACGGCTCACATAGCAATAGCACCACTTAGACTTACATACTGCTTCATAATCTTTACAGCCCCCTCTAAGTGGTTTACAGACTCAGCCTCTTGCCCCTGACTATCTGGGTCCTTTTACTGACCTCCGCAAGACTGAGTCAACCTTGAGCCGGTCAGGATCGAACTGCTGGCAGTGGGCAGAGTTTGCCTGCAATACTGCATTTTAACTACTGCGCCATCACGGCTCTTTAAGTTGAGCTTTGAAGGAGGATAAAAAGAATATTGATCTTGTGAACTTTGGTGTTGGAAAAGACTCCTGAGATATACCACAAATGGATCATCGAAGAAAGCAATTCAGAGTTCTCACCGAGATCCAAATTATCTGACTTATGCAAAATATTAGCTTTCTTGAAAAATCTGTTGGGATGCGATAGGTAGAAGGAAAGGGCAACCAAAGTGACACAGTAATTAATATATCAATATGAATGTTGATGATGCTGTAACGTTGTTGAAAGTGTTAATATGTTATAAATTGTTGGAAAATGTCTAATAAAAAGTATTTTTTTTTAAAAGAAGAACCAGTAACAAAGTGGGTAGGCCCATTACAGCAATGATGATTCTCCGCCTTCTGCCTTTTATCCCCAGACTTCGCTAGCAGTGGTGGCTCTTCCGTCCCAAGGACCGGCCCATAGATTTCCACTGCTCTCCTCTCCTTTCTGTGCATCCATATGTATCAGGCACTAGACCCAGCTGTTCCTCTTCTTCTTCATCAGCCACCTCCAGACCTGGAAACTGTTGACTCTCCATCCTAGGGCTGATGGGAGACCCAGGCTCTGCCCCTCCCTCCCTCCCTCCCTCTCCCTCTCTCTCTCTGCCAGCTCCATTCCTCTTCCCCCTTAGAGTTCCCAGGTTGCCTTGATGCCGGCGCTGACTCCCACACCTCCTCCTCTTCCTCCAATTCAGCTGCTGGAGGGGCCGGTGGCTGACAGGCCACAACACCCAGGACATGGTAATTGCCAAGCGTGAATTTTGATCCCTTGACCATGGGGATGGGGCAATGGTCGTATGTGTGAAAAATGTTACTTTTTTTCATTACCGTTGTAACTTTTAACGGTCACTAAACAAACTGTTGTGTAAGATGAGCACTACCTGTAATCTTGACGTGACTGCAGCTCCTCTGAATGCAAGGGCCGAAGACGGGATCGCAATTGCTCCTTCTTTCAGTATATGGTGTGCATGATTCTGTGTGTGTTTTAGATCCTTTCCTTGACTGAATTGCAGCCCTGGTCAAAAGGGCCCAGCAGAGATTATACTGAGACTTCTCAGAAAACAACAACTGAATGGAAAATTGCTGGTGACCTTCTACTGCTGCACCATTGACAGCATTTTAACATACTACACCTCTGTATAGTTTGCCAATTGCATAGTGGCAGATAGGAAAGCACTCCAGAGGGTTAACGTCATTGCCCAGAGCATCATTGGTTGCCCTCTCCCCTCTTTGGAAGAGCTTTATAGCTCCCGCTGCCTTAAGAAAGTTCAAAACATTCTCAAAGATCCATCTCACCCTGGGCACCCTTTTTTATTTTTGAACTACTACAATCTGGCAGATGGTACAGAATAAAAAAAACAAGGATAAATAGGCTGTAGAACAGCTTCTATCCCAGGGCAGTAGCTCTTTTGAATTCTGCTGGATAGTGCAGTGTTGGTGTGGTGTCGGGGGTTTCCGGTTCAATGCGTGAAAGGTGAAGGATGTGTGTTTGTGTTTATTTTCATGGTCATGATGTGCACTGAAGATGGTGTTTGATTTCGTTGTGCGAAGTGCAATGACAACAAAGTAAACTAAACTGAAGTAAAATTGGATTTTCACACACACACACACACACTAAAAGCAGAGATGCGACAATCTAGGAGGGAACGATTTAATTTGTGGTGAAATAAATGCCCGATATACCAACTGTCTAGAATGAAAGAGGTTCACAATCAATTACAAAGGGAGGGAGGGGGGAAGCAGGCTTTTTTGCCCAATCCCTGGGTATTTTCCAATTTTCAGGCCATCAAATTTATCATTTTTTGCTGATTGAAGCAGCCCTCCCAACCAATATGGGCCTCAGCATTCTTTTCGCAGGTATTGGCATGGATAATTTACCGCCCTGATCCAATTTGTAAATCAGTGGGGGCCACTAAATTGCGGCGTTAAGAAAAATGAGAGAGAGAAAGCGAACTAGGCTCCTATTTCCCCCCCTCCTTTGTGTCAGCAGGCTGCCACGATTACGCTTATTAGATTTCTTTTGAAAGGGTTTCACATTTTTCTCAAATATGCGGGAGAACTCTTTCCCCTCAGAGGCCACCATTAGCATTTTGCACTCCGGTCCTCGGTCCTCGAAGACAAGGAAAAATGATGAATTTTTCAATGTTTAAAACGCCACCCCCCCCCCTTAATTTATGCTTTCAGCTCGTGGCATTTTGAAATGCAGCAACAATCTGCTACCCCCCCCCCCAAAAAATGACTCTGTTACTAAGGGCAAGACCAACCTCTCTGCACCCAAAAAAACAAAAAAAAGAGGAATATATAATGTATGCCAACAAAACTACTCTAACTTTCAAGGGGAAAAAAAAAGAATAAATGCCCCAGGCCTTGGGCTGCAGCCCAGCTTGAAAACCTGGGTAGAGCGGATGGAGTTAAAATATTTGGATTATTTTGGGAAAGTTTGAAGGCTGAAGAAGCAGCCTTTTATTTCTCCTTCCCCTTGGTAGTTTTTCAAGGGCAAAACGAATGCTTTAGGTTTTTTTCCCCCTAAGGCTTTTGCCTTTTACAGCTCAGTGATGTTGGCCCCACCGGTTCTAATGTATCCATCAACCATCGCTCCTCAAAAGCCATTTTAAAAAGCGTGGTACATGACTTTTTCCAGCTGGGCACCCCTATGTAATAAAAGGAGTGGGAATCCCAAGGTCTTTCAGAAGCAAATCTGCAAAATACTACATATAAAACTTAGTCCCTGCGTAGTTTTCTTCCCTCCCTAACAGCTAGTAAAAGGAGTGAGGGCTGAAGGTCTAACTGGCATCCACACAATGCTAAGAGTCCTTTAATCGTTTTAATGCTGTTTCGGAATTCCAGAATCACAAAATTCAGCTTATACAGATGTAAATCAGATTGTTCTGACCCAGGCTTCCCCAACAGTACAAAACCGACTCCTTTTATTTAATTTACAGTGAATTCCTCTCCAGGGAAGTCCCAGCCAACAGTCTTTCAAGATATTTCACAGTTACAGACCTTTATCAGGCTTGAAGAGTTGACAGGCCGATATCTTTCAGACACCACACTGTAGCAGACAATAATTAGCAAGAATGCAGGAACAGATCTTCACCCAAATGAACTGTCTCCTGCAAAACCCTTTTCGCTCCTCTTTTATTCTCTATGGAAGGGGCCATTCACCATCCACCTGAGCCTTTACTCCTGAGTCGACCCTTGTTCTAGCTGTTCCCTTCTTCTAGCAGTTCTGTGCATGCGCACATCAGGAACAGGCTCCAGCTGTTCTTCTGCCCCATTGATCTCCGAAGGCAGCTGATAACTGTCGGATGGCCCTGGCCCCATCTCTGCCTCCGATGCAGAGCCCTCGTCAGAGCCTTCCCCAGACTCCAGGACTGGCCCATGTTCCTCCCTGACCTCCTCACTGTCTGAATCTTCTGTCAGGCCACAACACAGATTGAAATGGGCTCAGACATTCCATGCTAGCCTATTGCTGAAGTGTCTGCTTTGTTCCTAATGCCATTTTAATTTTTCCAAACAAGATAAGAGAGCATAGGAGGAACTCTCAGCCTTCGTGGGCACTTCGAAGCAGCATCTCTATACATCAGTGAGGAAGACTCCAAGTAGAAGGAGCGCAGCCTTAGAAGTAGTTTACCAGAACAGGAAGATGAATAAGCAGGTGTACAAAACTGTCTAGGACAAGCTAATGAATTTAATCAAAATGGCATTCATGCTGTACTCTTCCAAAAAACATATAAACATCTGTTTTAAAACAATTGCATCCAACGTAATTCTTTTAACGCCATCAGTGAGGGCAAAGTTAAGACATTGAATGATGAAAAATCCCACAAGAATCAGTGTGTAAGTTAATACCCAAGCAAATAATTTCTCTCATCTTAAAATGCAAATCCTTAGACAGAGGCAAGGATTTGGGCTTCGGAAACAAGGCAGCAGACAAACTAAGGAAGAAAGATAAAAACGTTTATGGGTAACACAGTGGAAGATATGTCAGGACGACTCCCTCATTCAGACTTCTCTCCCGCTTTTTACCTCAGCAATAGCAACAGCAATAGCACTTAAGACTTATATGCTGCTTCACAGTGTTTTACAGCCCTCTCTGAGCAGTTTACAGAGTCAGCCTCTTTCCCTCCCTACCCCCCAACAATCTGGGTCCTCATTTGACCAACCTCGGAAGGAAGGCTGAGTCAACCTTGAGCCGGTCAGGATCGAACTGCTAGCTGTGGGCAGAGTTAGTCTTGCAATACTGCACTCTAACCCCTGCGCCACCGTGGACACTCACTGAACGGCCAAGATTAAAAACGAAATGATCCCTCAAAACGCCTAACATGATAGCCCTTACGTATCAAATAAATTAAACCTTTGTTTCCGCATACTGAAATTGCAATACGGCAGCAATTTTTTTGAGAAGCGCTGGAGGGCTGTGGCAAAAGCTTTGGGGTTTATACAACATTTGTATTGGCTCTTCTGCTAAAGTCCTGCTTTCATCGCCCCACACTTAGGGTTGAAGCCATGCCTCCATTTGAGAACCAACCTCCTAAAATAAGTGACTCCCAAGAAAACAGCTACCAGGCTGCCTCAAATCCTCAAATGAAATAAACCATCAGTTTCAGACAAGCTTTGGAACTAAAACATGTATCTGGGAGAGCCTTGCCGGCTGCAAAAGAAATGGGCTGGCAAGGCAGGTGTCGGGGTGTGCAAGGCCTGGTTACACCTGTCCAAAGGTAAGTAGCAGGGCAGCTCCACCCCCCCCCCCATCCTCACCCTAGCTTAATTTTTACCATCCACTCTGGAGTGGGTGGGATCTTAATTAGGGTTTATTTTTTTTGGGGGGGGGGTAGGGCTTATATTGGGCACATGTGTAGAAATCAAGTTAGGACTTACTTTCAGGGTAAGTCGTATTTTTGGGGAAACAGGGTATAGATTGGACTTCAATTGTGCTTCAGTTATCTCCCAGAAAGGCTGGACTGCAGCAGCCTAGCCGAGCGATGCTTAGGGTACAAACACCAGGAGTTGGGGATAAACACAACATTCATCTTTATTATTCCAAGGTGTCACAGATTGGCATTTGAAGAATCCCAGTTTCAGAAGAGAGCCAAAGTCAGAGGACAATTCGGGTAGCAGAAAAAGAAATGGTGTACCGAGAAAAACAAAAAGAGATTGCTGGAGAAAGGGCGAAGAATTTCCATTTCGAAAGCATTAAATAAATCAGAAGAACACCATTAAAATGTTCCGCCCGATTGTTCATGTTCAGAACAGATGCCAACTGATTTGGGTTGAGCAGGATGATTTAACTGACTTGCATTTTATTCACCGAAGGAATACTGACTCAAATGTACTGCACAGGAAGGTAATTTCAAATGCAAAGCCCAAGGAATACCCAACCGTAGCTTGTTAAGACACAACCCCCCCCCAGACAGCGCAGCCTGACATCGTTTCTTGGTTTGAAGAAAACATTTTGCTTTCGGTATGGATGAGACCACGACACATTAAAAAAAAAAACATATTGTACAACACAGAGCAATGCTCGCCTAAAAATGAAAATTTTTGCCTAAGGTGAGAGGTGCTCATCCTCCACAAAATACAGAGATCCAAGTGGCTTGAGGAAAGAAAAAAAAAACAGACTTTAAAAAAGAACAAAACAACAACAACCCATATAGATAAAGATACACGCCACAAAAAAACCGAATTCTTGGAAGGAACCGTTTCTATACAACCTTGACGGAGATCTTGAATTTATATAAATCACCAGCAGAAATACCAGCTGCTCAGAATGTTCGTTATAGAGAGAGAGGAGAAAGAGAGACGCACGCAGGGTTTCCAGGCTGGGCTACGCAATCGTGGGGGCCAGTCTGCTTATAAAAGAAATGCTGCTGACGCACAGCCTTCGCAGGAACAGAGGGCACGAAGGCTTCATGATGAGATGTTCAACCACAATCCTCAGCTCCGTGAAGAGGGTCCTGAAAAGAGAAATATATATATATATTTTCAAGCTCGAAGCACGTTGGAGCCATTATCACTTTTCAACTGGCCAACCAACTGGGGGTGGGTGGGGAAGGGAAGGGTGAGAAGGAATGCAGGTTCCAGACTTCAAGGAGGAGAGCCGTGGGAGCCGAGGACACTGTCAGGATTCCAGAAATCGCCCTAATGAAATCATGATTGTCGAGCCAAACTTCAAAAAACTTCAAAGGATTCATTAGAGGTGACATACTGGCTCTGCCCTGTATGAAGCCAACTCTGGCGTACGTCAACTGCAATTTGGCAGATCGAATCTCACCAGGCTCAAGGTTGACTCAGCCTTCCATCCTTCCGAGGTGGGTAAAATGAAGACCCAGATTGTTGGGGGCAAGAGGCTGACTCTCTAAACTGCTTAGAGGGCTGTAAAGCACTATAAAGCAGTATATAAGTCTAAGTGTTATTGCTATTTACAGTCACCTGTGACCCTGTTTCCCCTCTCCCCCCTGGGTGTGTTATAAATCAGATTCTCCAATTGAGCACGTTCACGGGCTGAGTGTCATCAATCACATTCTCCAATTCAATATATTCATGGGCAAAAGCTGTGGTATTTTAGTTACAATCTTTTAAAGATTAAGAGTTGGAATGTACTTCTGCTTTCAAACAGCTGCACTGCTCTTCCAATTTCCTTCTTCCCCCCACTTTTTTTTATGGCAACTATTAAAACAGGCATAGGAATGTTTTATGAGTTGATACACGGTCAGTTAACAACCGTGTCACTAATTTAGTGTCAAGATACCAGCAATCACCTTAATGAAACCATGATTCTCGAGCCAATCTTCAAAAAATTCATTAGAGGCGACATACTGGCACTGCCCTGTACGAAGCCAACTCTGGCATACATAATTGACAGTCCCGTGACCCTGTTTCCCCCCTTCCCCCTGGGTGTGTCATAAATCAGATTCTCCAAAAGTTCACGGGCTGGGTGTCATCATTCACGTTCTCCAATTAAATATATTCGCGGGCAAAAGCTCTGGTATTTTAGTTACAATCTTTTAAAGAGAAGAGTTGGAATGTACTTTCGCTTCCAAGCGGCTGCACTGCTCTTCCAGATTTCCTTCCCCCCCCCCCCCCCTTTTAATGGCAACTACTAAAACAGGCATAGGGATGTTTTATGAGGTTGGTTGGCCGTTCGTGAGTTATGGACCCCTAAGTTTGAAAACAACAGGGAAAAAACATGGAAATTTGAGTCTTAATAGGAGGTTTTTCTATTCTCAGAATAATACAATGACACTCCATTGGACAATGTGACCTGCACTAATAGGAGGGAAGGGGAATTCTCTGTTGTAAAAATGTGGGTTTGCGCAGAAATTAACTAGGGCTGGTTTCGCCTTCCATAGTGCCAAAATGATGTACTCAACCAAGTTTTGTACGGAGACCCTGGCAGAACTCTAATGTGCTTGCTTTAGTTGGGATCACTGGCAAACATATTTTCCAAGTTCACGTCAAACAGCAGCGCTTCTCTCTCTCAAATTTCATCTTTGAAACTCAGGAGGACACAGCTGCAACCCTGATTGCTGCTACAGGTAGATCTCGACTTACTTAGTGACCGTTCCAGGTTACAACATCGCTGAAAAAGCGAGTTAGGAACCGTTTTTCACACTTAGGACCGTTGCAGCATCCCCCAGGGGGATCACACGAACAAAATTCGAATGCTTGGCAAGTGATTCGTCTTTATGATGGTTGCAGTGTCCCTGGGATCATGTGGTCCCCTTTTGTGAAGTCAGCGGGGAAGCCAGATTCACTTAACAAGCATGTTGGTGAATAGAATAATGGAATGGAATGGAAAAGAACAGAACAGAAGAATGGAACGGAATAATAGAATGGAATGGAATAAAGGAGCGGAGCGGGAGAGGAGAGGAGAGGAGAAGAGAAGAATGTGGAATAAAATAGAAAATAGAATAGAATAGAAAATAGAAGAGAAGAGAAGAATGGAATGGAATAAAGGAATGGAATGGAATGCAATAGAAGAGAAGAAAAGAGAAGAATGTGGAATAGAATAGAAATTAGAATAGAATAGAATAAAGGAATGGAATGGAATAGAGGAATGGAATGGAATAGAATAATAGCAGAATGAATTAGGAATGGAATGGAATGGAATAATTTTATTATCACTTTGAATGTACACTAATTGGCATATGTTAAAATGAAATTTTGTTGCATACAGCCACAGTGAGTCATTTAACAAGTGTGGCAAGAAAAGTCGTAAAATGAAGCAACATTCATTTAACAACTGTCTTTCTTAGCAACACACATTTTGGGCTCAACTGTGGTCGTAAGTCGAGGGCTACCTGTAATTCACGCTAAATGTCACTGATGTTTAATGAGGGTGTCGGGCTATGTTGTCGATCATGTGCAGGGAAGGATTTTCAAGAGTAGCCCATCCTCCATTCTAATAGGAAATTGGGATCATAAATGCAAAAGCCAGAATAAGGCAGATGAGGTATAAAGGGATGTCACAATGTTCAAAACAGACAATTTAAAATAAAGGCTTAAGCAAACTCAACAGCCATGGCACATTCAGGGACAAAGATGTAAAGGAAAGAAAAGGAGAATGAAGGAGTTGAAGATGGCACAAGGCAAGGTGGATGAACAAAACACTAAATTCGAGTATCATCATGAACATCAATCTTTGCTACTGTCATTAACCAGCACAAAGCAAATCACAAAGCAAATCTAACTTTTTAGATCTAAAAGTTAGGGCTAGATCCAGGGTAGTTTTAACGAGAAAGACTATTAGAAAATGTCAAGACGAATGAGCCAAAATAATACAAGACTAACGTTAAAAACGAAGCTAAGAAAAATAGGTAAGTGCCAGTAAACAAAGCAGTAAAACCAACCAAAACAGGTTTAAGGATTGCTGACTTTTAATTGAAGAAAATCCTCTAACGCTGGTATTTTCAACCTATTTTTGCTCAGGGCCCCTTCTTAAACCTCATTTCCTTCTGTGATACTCACCCCCGTTTTTGTAAGGTTAGAGAAAAAGGGACTTGGCTGTTTATTCCTCCAAACTGTATCATTAATGTAACTGTTTTATGTTACAAACTCAAAGCATTTTTGGCAGCTAACGAAAACGATTAAACAAAATTCTGGAAAAAGTGCAAAATCGTCTAACAAGCAGCAACATAAAATCTCCCAGAAAAAAAGGCAAAATCCCCTCCTGAGGAAGACACACAGAGCACACTAGAGCCAACGGTTGCTCTAAGAAATTCAGCAATGTACAAAAAATACACCACAAATTTCATCGGCCCGACAGGAGTATATATTTCTCTTAGGTCGACCCCAAGTTCTAAAATATGCGAGGAGCATATTTATAAAGTACAAAGTTTGTGATTTTCAGAGATACAAAAGGCATCCCCTTTCGATGCTTTTGTTCAGTAACACAATTGTTTGATCTGGAAGTTCACAAGTTAACTACCGTGTTTCCCCAAAAATAAGACCTTGTCTTATATTTTTTTGCCAGCAAAAAAGACAGCAGGTCTTATTTTGCGGGGGGGTGTCATCCACTGACTAGCCTCACTTGCGTGTGTCGCTCCCGGCCTCCTTTTCGCTGTCAGAGGCCTTCAGGAACTTCTTCTTCTGCGGCCAGCAAGGCTTTCCTGAAGGCCTCTGCAAGTCAATAAGAGAGCTCAGGATCGATCCGGAGCTTTGTTATCAGCTACAGAGGCCTTCAAGAAAGCCTACCCAGCTGCAGAAGAAATGGGCCAGCAAGGCAGGTGTCGGGGTGTGCGAGGCCTGGCTACACCTGTCCAAAGGTAAGTAGCAGGGCAGCTCCACCACCATCCCATCTCCACCCTAGCTTAATTTTTACCCGTCCACTCTGGAGTGGGGTGGGATCTTAATTAGGGCTTATTTTGGGGGGGTAGGGCTTATATTGGGTACATGTGTAAAAAAATCAAGCTAGGTCTTACTTTCAGGGTAGGTCACATTTTTTTGGAGAAACAGGGTAGAAAGTGATCGGAGATTAAACTTTGGACCGTTGAGTTTTAAAGCATAAATCCTGTCACTTAGACCTGTATTTTCTTCCCACAATTTGTAACACTCCGGGCGGAGGAGGTGGAAGCATCTTGTAAAAATATTTTTAAAAAATGGAATTATAGCCATGAGATACCGAGAGAAACCCCAAACAGCTCTCTGCTTAAGGCAGCCCCACAATAATTGTGCGCGTGAGTAATCCTCACTGGCTTCTCACCTGCAGTAAGGATTTCTGCGAGAAGAGTAACGGAGCGTAAGAAATCTGTAGTAAATAAAAGGCTGCAGCAAGCTTCCTTGTCCGCTGAAAAGGACAAAAAAGAGAAGGACGGCGGGTTACAAAAACAGCAGCAGTTGATTTCTTAATCAAGAGAGGATTTATATTATTATACAGGGGGGGGGTCCCTGACTTGCAACTGTTCATTTAGTGGCCGAAGTCCCAATGGCGCTTAAAAAAAGGAACTTATGACCCCTTTTCACTTATGATCCCCACGGTCACATGACCAAAATTTGGACACTGAGAAACTGGCATGTACTTATGACGGTTGCGGTGTCCTAGGGCCAAGTGATTCCCCCTTTTCCGCCCTCCTGACAAGCAAAAGTCCCTGGGAAAGCAGGATGCACTTAACCATCGTGTCATGAACTATGCAGCTGCAGGGATCCGCTTAACAACAGTGGCAGGAAAGGTCGCATCTGCACTCCACATTTTGAACTAATCTTACGTGTCAATATTCTGTGGCGGATACACACCCAAATAGATCCATAGCTCAGGACATAACATGCTTTGAGTGCCAAAAATAGTGGCCAATATAAAAAACAACAACAACCAAGAAAGCATGAAAAGATGACAAATGATAAAAGAGGAGGAGAAGCACTGCCTGTCCAGTGTCACTCAGGAACAGACCTCGCTGTGTTCAAGGCAGCTTTTATTTCCTAGGCAGGCTTGTCTGAAAGCAATTCCCTTATTTAAAAAATAAGCCTCAATGAGTTTAATTGGGATCACTTCCAAGAAACTGTGTCTAGGACAGGCCCCCCCTGGCAATACGGTGCCATGTGTTAGCCTGACTTTAAATGCATTATCCACCACCAGCCCACATAATGACCTTAATTGTGACAAACGAATATTTTAAAGCCAAAAACAAACAAAAAAATGAAGGCTGCACCTCTCTTCAAAGTTTTGTATCTTTTTATCATCGGAATCCTGTTTAAGATACCAAAATAATAATAATAAAAAAAATACGTTTCATTCTACCCTGCCCAATGTTTAAGAGCAATTTAACTGACTCTCTAGTATAGAATTCTTGATTGGCCACGTGTGCTTGGACGCACAAGGAATTTGTCTTTGATGCATATGCTTTCAGTGTACATAAAGAAAAAAAATAAAGTACATTCACCAAGAATCAGACATTCTGCAGTTCGGCTCTAGAGCTCTTTTAAGTTCTCATGGAAATCATAAAACCTTGAATAAATCACTAGCCTGAGCCTTCATCTTCACCCCGTAAATCAGGTTTCTTTGAGACAGGAAATACTGCATCCCAAACTGGGGGTGCAGTTGAGATAGCCTGAAAAATAAATTTATATATATGAAGGACTACAAAGGACACATACCTGAAGAGCATAAACACGGTAGCTGGCATCAAGAAGATTTCGTTGCAGGCAATAAATTTTAAGATGTTTTGCTGATTAGCGTTCAACTTGTCCAACAGATTTCTTAGAAAAGGCAGGCTATTTGAGCCCCGGGCCTTTAAAAAGAAGGGAGAAAAACAAATGAACAAATGTCCCTGGAAATCACTTGCTCCAGCTTATGCCAATTTACCAATGGAAAATAAAAACTCTGTAGATATTTTTAACTCTTAATATTTAGTAGCTCTATAACCTGTGTTTCGCTACGAAACTATGTGGTCGGGCTTAGTTTTTGGGGAGGAAAATAAGGGGGGGAAAATTCTGCCTCTGCCTACCGGCATCCATCGGTATTCGTCTGGCTAGCATCTTGTCAGTGTGTGAGAGTTGAGGGCTGTTTGGAAACTGAAACAGTATTTACTGTGTGAGCAAGGAGACAGCAAGGACCCTGGGCGTGGCTTGGCTCAACTGTTTTGTGCTAAAGATGCTTAGTGCTGTGAAACTGAAACTCTTCTGCTTGTGTTTTGCATTTGGAAGAGATTTCTTTTTTTCAGGTGAGGACGGGGAGTAGAACTCCTTAGCATCAGAGTGTGGTAATAATAAGATACAAAATACTTATGCTCTGATGGTCGTTTCGAAAAATCCTTTCTTAGTGAGCACCTAGAAGCCAAGACGAACATACATGCCCAATTTCAAGTTTGTAGGCTTTACGGTTCTGGAGATTTTGTGATGATGCGCGAGTGATATTTCGCTTTTATGTATATGGAGGAGGAAGAGGAGGAGGAGGAAGAAGAGGAAGAACCATGAAGGCACTCATTAACCCTCTAAGATCTAAACCAGCTTTACAAACATGCTGATCCTTGTAAATCTAAAGAGTTAACTCTGAATACCACTAAAAAAAAGTCTCTTAAAGTATGGAAAGCATCTTTCATAGCCCCAAGAGGACACAAATATCAGTAATAGTATCTCACAACTGCTTTGTCAATGCCATGAGAACGTATAGTCCTCGATTTACGACAATGGAGCCCAACATATGCATTGCTAAGTGAAACATTTCTTAAGTAAACTTTGCCCCGTTTTACGACCTCCCTCGCCAGGGTTGTTCAGCGAATCGCTGCAATTGTTGCATTGATAACACGACTGTTAAGCAAATGAATGAATTTTTCCACTGACTTGGCTTGTCAGAAGGTCGCCAAAGAGGGATCACCCTGGGATGCTGCAACCATCGTAAGTATGAGTCAGTTGCAAAGCCTCAGAATGTTGATCACGTGATCATCGGGGTGCTACAACGGTTATTAAATGTGGAAAATGGCCATGTGTCATTTTCCCAGTGCCGCTGCATCACTAAGTGAACCGTTGTAAGTCAAGGACTTCCTGTACGTGGCCCTACAGCTGCCTGCTGACAGGTAGACTGGTCATTTCAGAGTTCCATGGCCATCAGCAGAAGGAAGGGATATATTATTTTTCTAATAATTCTCCCATCTTGTTTTTTTTTTAATAAAAGTTTTTTTTTTATTTTGACACATCTATCTCTTCAGTGAGCAACATGATTCCAGGTTACAACATTTATACATCGTCATAATTGCATTTCCAACTTTCTTATCTAATTTCCTATCCAATCATTATCTATTCCACTGATCTTTAAATAAGTGCTCACTTCATATTTCAATTCATTAATTCAATATCAAAAACATTCCATCCTCACGTATATTTTCAATTCCTTATCCCCTATTATTTCCATTTTCACCTTACCACCTATTTTATTTTACATTATTCATTACCTTCGTTAACTTTCTCAAAGCCGATATATAATAAACAGTCAAAAAAAGAGTAAAAATAAAATAATATTAATATATTCAGGATCCATATGGTATATCCCCCAGTCTACAATAAATGCAGAGATATGCTCTCTTCCCCTGGCAAATAGATGGGGAAGAAATGGAGGGAGTGACAGATTTTATTTTCATGAGCTCCAAGATCACCGCAGATGGGGACTACAGCCAAGAAATTAAAAGACTGCGGAGGAAAGCTATGGCAAATCTAGACAGCCTACTCAAAAGCAGAGACATCCCCCTGCTAACAGATGAGGAGGTAATTAAGAAAATATTAGAGTGTGCAGAAATGAACAGACTAACACTAGCAATTAAGGAGAAAGAGCCAACTGTGTATTATATGATGTGGAATGTATTTTATCAATTGCTAGAAAATAAAAAAGAAATTTGCAAATGAAGAATAAAGGAGAACAGAAAACAGATTTAAAAAAAGAGATACAAATAAGATGACAACTGTTGATATATGTATGATGAGAACAATAAGATGTAATGTTAGTAAGGTATTATCATCAGAAGAGTTTTATGTTTAGCTGTTTGATGTATCTTTAATTCCAAATTTAGAGAAATAATATCAATGTGAATGTGAACGGAGGTGGCACAGAAGTGTTTGTGCCCAGAAGACACACTGCTTGAGAAAAAATGAAATGTACTTTTGAAACGGAAAAATAAAAAACTTTATTTTAAAAAAAGGGTTATAGAGCTATGGCTTTCCCAGTTGCAATGTATGGCTGGGAAAGTTGGACCATAAGGAAGGCTGAGCGCCAAAGAATGGAGGCCTTTGAACTCTGGGGCTGGAAGAGGAGACTCCTGCGAGTCCCTTGGACTGCTAGGCCATCCAACCGGTCAGTCCTAGAGGAGATCAACCCTGGCTGCTCTTTAGAAGGGCAGATCCTGAAGATGAAACTCAAAGACTTTGGCCACCTCATGAGAAGGAAGGAAGGACTCCCTGGAGAAGAGCCGAATGCTGGGAAGAGGAAGAAGGGGACCGCAGAGGAGGAGGAGGCTAGATGGAGTCCCTGAAGCAGTCATTGTGAGCTTAAATGGACTCCAGAAGATGGTAGAGGACAGGAAGGCCTGGAGAAATGTGGTCCATGCAGTCACGATGGGTCAGACACGACTTCTCAACTAACAACATGAAGACCTCACTCCTCTCTTCCATGGTCTTCTTAATTGTCCAAGAAGAAAACCCAATATAATAGGATTTCTCAACTTTGGGAATGTTTTAGAAGTCCACACAATTTAAACATTCCCAAGGTAGAGAAAAATTACTCTATAACCAGCCCAGATCTCCAAGCAGAAAAATAGATGTCAACATCATACTTACATCAAGAACTTTCTTTGTGTAGGTCACAGCATGAAGCAACGAAAACAAGAGGACAGGGAAAATGCTCACTGAAGTGAAAGTTAAGGGCACCACATTATAATTAGAGTGGACAAGTTTTAAAAATCCTGGAACTGAGCCAAGGTAACACCCTGTTTCCCTGAAAATACGACCTTCCCTGAAAGTAAGTCCTAGCTTGATTTTTTTACACAGGTGCCCAATATAAGCCCTACCCCCCAAAATAAGCCCTAATTAAGATCCCACCCACACCAGGATGGACAGGTAAAAATTAAGCTAGGGTGGGGATTGGGGGGGTGGAGCTGCCCTGCTACTTAGCTTTGGACAGGTGTAGCCAGGCCTCGCACACCCCGACACCTGCCTTGCCAGCCCATTTTTTCTGCAGCCAGCAAGACTGGCAAGGCTTTCCTGAAGGCCTCTGGAGCTGATAACAAAACTCTGGATCGATCCTGAGCTCTCTTATCGGCCTCAGAGGCCTTCAGGAAACCCTTGCCGGCCACAGAAGTTCCCGAAGGCCTTCGAGAGCGAAAAGGAGGCCGGGGGTGATGCGCACAACTGAGGTTAGTCAGTGGAGGACATTCCCCGAAAATAAGACCTGGTGCCTTTTTTTTTTTAATAAGACAGGGTCTTATTTTCAGGGAAACATGGTATTGCTAAGAAAAAGAATATTGTTTACGTGGTTGCCAGGATTCACGTTAGCCTTGAGGAAGATTTTACTTTATTATTATAACCAATACCAGTTTAAAACCCTGCCCCTCACTCCTAGTACAAATGTGAACAAAACAGACTTGTGAAAAGGGATGGCTAATTGGACAGATAATTGAACATAATTAAGAACTCCACAGCCATTTGAATTAATCAACCAATTTTTAAACATCACTTCTTCAGAGGGCTCGTGGTACAGGTAGTCCTCGACTTACGATCACCTGCTATGGTCGTAAGTCGAGGACTACCTGTACCATGAGCCCAACGTTTTTATTTATAAAAATGATTTTTTATAAACATTTTTATTTGCCAAGCGAGATTTTTTGTTAAGTGAGTTTTGCCCCATTTTATGACCTTTTCTGCCAGAGTTGTTAAGTGAATCACTGCAGCTGTTAAGATAGTAACCTGGTGGTTAAGGAATCAGCCTTCCCCATTGATGTTGCTTGTCAGGTCACAAAAGGGGATCTCGTGACCCCCCCGGGATGCTGCAACCATCATGAGTTAGTTGCCAAGTGTCCAAATTTTGATCACATGACCTTGGGTATGCTACAATGGTCGTAAGTGTGAAAAATGGTCCTAAGTCACTTTTTTCAGCACCGTTGTGACTTTGAAGTCACTAAAGGAACGGTTGTAAGTTGGGGGGCCCCCTGTATATTATAAATCCTGTCTTGATTAAGAAATAAACTGCTGTTGTTTTTTAACCTACTGTCCTTATTTATTTTCAGCAGACAAGGAAGCTTATCGCAGCCTTTTATTTACTATGGATTTCTTACACTGCTTGCAGAAATCCTTACTGCTGGTAAGAAGCCAGTGAAGATTACTCACGGGTAAAATTAGTCATTTCTCCTTTAAAATTTTTTTTTCCAACATTCTTTTAAAATCCCCACGGCTCCCTTGGTTCAAGATAGGGCCATTAATCTGGCTTGCCTGTCAGCTCAGTCCAGCCCTGCAGCAAATGGGCAGATCTAACTTTTGACTCCCCAGATGTTTCCCCGAAAATACAACCTACCCTGAAAGTAAGACCTAGCTTGATTTCTACACATGTGCCCAATATAAACCCTACCTCCAAAATAAGCCCTAATTAAGTACAAATAAATACTCTTAAAAAGAAAAGGATACTTGTGACGGGGTAGGAATTAACGAAGATGAGGGAGTACAGAAGGTAGTGGCAACTGTCCTCCAACAAGGCTTGAGATAAGAATGCCCGGCTTAGCTGGAAATGTGGCAGCCGTTGGTGGAGACGCAGGGCGCTGGTGAGCGCGTTCGCCAGCAAAGCCCTCTGGTAAAAGCTCGCTGCTTCGTGCAACCTGGGAATTATCCAAGGAGAAGTTAGCACACAAACAAGCCTCTGCTCGAAGTCATCCTCCCACGAGCATTGAATTGCATCACCGACATCGCGGTGTTGAAATCTGCCCTGCTCAACTGGCAAGCCAAGGCATTCTTCTTCCTTCCATTAAAGACCAATCTGTGAAGCTTCGTGGGGATATTGCATCCCAGAAAAATAATAAAAAATAAAGGTTAGGTAGGTTAGCAATATTTTACAAGTTTTAAATGACAAGTGTTGAGATCTGAAGTTTCGCCTCCGCTGACTCACACCGGATTGGCTATGTGTCCATTATTGTCCAGGCCAAATTGAACGGTTTAAAATCAGAAGCAGCAATGTTTTAAAAAACATTGACTACAAGCAAAGCGTATTCTACTGACCAACTGGTGAATTAAATCCAGTATGTGATCTTTATCAGTGAAAGCAATGAAATGTCAAACTGCTAATCCCTGATTGGACTATATCCCTTATGCACCTAGACACAATACATTTGCCTCAATTTGTGACAATATAACATAAAACATCTTCAAAATTATTGATACTTTCTGTTGTGCCCCTAAAACTGATACTATGCTGCCCTAAATTAATACGGTGCTGTGGCTCTAAAATTTATACTATACAACCTAAATTTATACGGTGCTGTCTTCCTAAAATTTATACTATACTACCCTAAATTTGTACAGTGCTGTGGCTCTAAAATTTATACTATGCTACCCTAAATTTTTACATATACTATGCTAATCTTAATTTATACGGTGCTGGGGCAGTAAAATTTATAGTGTGCAACCTAAATTTATATGGCGCTGTGGCCCTAAAATTGATACTATGTTACCCTAAATTTATACAGTGCTGGGCCCTAAAATTGATACTATGCAACCTAAATTTATATGGTGCTATGTCCCTAAAATTGATACTATGCTACCTAAAGAGAAGCAGCATCATAATTTTTAAAGAAAATATTATACCTACCCTAGAAGAGGAAGGACAAATAAAGCCGAACAATAAATTGTGAATATCCGAGAAAGCCACATTGCCGTGTCCAACTTGTTAGTCATCAGAAATTGCTGGAACGAAAGAAAAAATTTCATGCAGGAAAATTGCCATGCCTGACACTAAATCTACAAATATTCAGCCGTTGCATATAGACAGAGACAACAATTCCATTTTTTTTACAGGTCGTCCTTGACCTACAACTGTTCATTTAAGAGACCATTTGAAGCTATAACGTCACTGAAAAAAGGGGACTTAGGACTATTTTTCACACTTACGACCGTGTTGGCATCTTCATAGTCTCATGATTTACATTCAGATGCTTGACAACTGACTCGCACTTATGACGGTCGCAGTGTCCTCGGGGGCGGTGTCACGTGATCCCCTGTGGTGACCTTCTGACAAGCAAAGTCAACTGGGAAGCCCAATTCACTTAACGACCATGGTTACTGACTTAATAATGGGAGTGATTCACTTAACAACAGTGGCAAGGAAGGTCGCAACAGGATTCAAAACTCACTTAACCATGGTCTCACACACTTAGCAACTGAAATTCGGGGCTCAATGGTAGTCGTAAGTCGAGGATTATCTGTATTAGAGGAGAGAGAAAGGAGCAGTGCTGTTCTCTTACTACTGTCCGCGAGTGGCTTTATTCATCCTTGGACGGGAGACCACGGGGAAATATTAATCCAGGGATGGGAGACCACAAGGGAATATTGTTCATCCGGGGATGGGAGACCACGAGGAAATCCGCTCCCACTCGGGGCCGAGGGCCTGCTCTCCCCCACCCCGGGACACCTGCGAGATCAAGGGAGGAGGGGAGGGGGACGGACAACTGATCACCCCTCCAGCAACCCCCGCGCGCCGTGGACAATGGGACCTGTAGTCCGAAACGGCCCGGCGCGGTGGGGGGGAGGCTCGCGCGTTCGCTCACCACCGTTCCTCCGCCCGCGCCGCCTTGCATTGGCCCGTTCTGCGCCGCGTCCGCCATGGCCCGACGACGCCCGGCTTCGCTGGCTCGACGAAGGGGAGCGGGGAGAAGCTCAAAGGCCGACCGCGAGGGAAGCCGGCGCGACGCTTAAGGGAGAGAAGGAGACCGCTTCTGCGCATGCGCCTGACCCGGCCCCGACCCCGCCGAGGGAGGAAAGAGGCGGAGAGAGGGGGGGGGAAGGCCGCGATTTCGCCTCGTAGTGCGCATGCGTCCTCTCGCCGTTTCCGGTTCACCTGGCTACTGCCGGGGGGCATGCCGGGGGATGTAGTTTTCCCAGGCGCGCAGGAAGTGGCGTCCTGGCGGTGGGCGGGGCTGCGCGGTAGGCGAGGTTTTCCCCGCTCAAACCTGGCTGGTGGGATTCCCTCGTGGTTTTTGCACGTTTCTTTTCGCGTGTCCTTTCCCCCCCACTCCCCCAGCCTGATCCTTGGCTAGGACAAGGCAGAGAATGGAATGGGCGGCATATAAAATTAATGAAAGGGATGGGATTTATTCCTTAATTCCTTAATTATTATTAATCGTAATTCATTATGGTCAATAATTATTAATCTTAGTTCATTATGGTCATAATAATTAATCATAATTATGATAATAATTATTAATCATAATCAGTTATGGTCATAATTATTAATCATAATTATTATCATAATTATTAATCATAATTAATTGATTCATTCATTCATTAAAACTGAACTCCGAAAAATTACTTTATCTTGTTCAATGACACAATGAATCACACACACACACATACACACATAAACTGGGCGACTCCTCACAAACCCTGCCTTAGTAGCAGGGGTGGGATTCAAATTTTTTAACAACTGGTCCTGTGGGCGTGGCTTAGTTGGTGGGTGTGGCTTGGTGGTCATGTGACTGGGTGGACATGGCTTGGTGGTCATGTTATTGGCTGGGTGTGGCCAACTCAATATCACTCACATTGAGGCACGCATCTCCTCACCTGGCCTCTCATGACTGTGGGGATGCTGCAACAGTTGTAAGTGTGAAAAAGGGTCATAAGTCACTTTTTTCAGTGCCACTGTAACTTTGAATGGTCACTCCACACAAGCAAAGTACCAGCAAAGGAGGGAAAAATAACTCCAGAGAAATTCCTGAGACAGGAAGTCTAGTCCTGCCAAGAATGTAATAAGGGTTAACGGAGAGGCAGTTTCTGTAAGCAACACCAGAATGTTTCCTTGCTGCCTTCCTTACAGGATTAACTTCTAACAATTAGGATTTCTTCTAACAATTGGTTCTCCGAACTGCTTAGAATGTTAACTGCTTAGAATGTTAACAACCGGTTCTAGCTAATAGGTGTGAACTGGTAGAATCCCACCCCTGCTTAGTGGTTAATTCAGGATTAAACAAACCACAGGCAGTCCTCAATTTACAACGACCACTGTGGAGCCCAGAATGTAAGCCTCGCTAAGCGAGACATTGGTTCAGCGTGTTTCGCACCCGTTTTTACGACCGTTCTTGCTGCCATTGTTAAGTGAGGCGCTGCCATAGTGGAATTAGTAACAAGGTCGTTAAGCGAACCGGGCTTCCCCGGGGACTTTGCTGGTCAGTAGGTTGCAAGAGAGAATCGTGTGTCATGCCCCCATCGGAGTCTGAATCCAGGGAGGAAGACAAACGGCTAACAGGGAGTGGGAGTGTGGCTCTGTTGGCTGTGGAGCAAACTGGGGAAGGGCAAAATCCAGCTGGGCAAAGCAGGAGAGAGGTAGAGCAAGAGAGAGGATATTCAGAGGAAGACCCAGGCCCACCCCTTCTTCATCCTAGGGCATGCAGAGAGGAACGGAGAAGAGAGCAACGTGGGTTGGGTGGCTTACAGGGGAGGAAAAGGCCCTGATACCATTCATTAGCGGCAGCTGGGAACACAATGTTTCAAAAGGGAAGCTGCTCACAGCAAAGTTGTTGGGAGCAAATCGTGAATTATCTGGTATCGTGGAGGCTTATCTGGGTTCCTGGCCTCTTCCCAACTGTGTATGTTTTGCTGGGCTTTCAAGTCTGCAATTCCTTCTCCTGCTCTGTCCAGTTAATTATTGCAGTGTGGTTTGTGTGGATTTTTAGTTACAGTTTGTATGTACTTCGTTTTCAGACTGAATTACCTCCACTTAAAGGCTGTTCCTGGGAGAGTTTTTCTCTAGCCGAAGGTAACCTGGACATTGGGGGCAAAGTTGGAGGTATTAAAGAGACATTTCTTGCTTATTTGACTGTGTTGCCTTTGTGCCACGCTCCAGGCCATCACATTGCGTGACACGCACACATCCCCGCAGATACTACGACTGTCGTAATTATGAGTCAATTGTCAAGCATCTGAACGTAAATCCTGTGACCCTGGGGGTGCTGCAACGGTTGTGTGAAAAAGGTCATAAATCACTTTTTTCAGGGCCGTTGTAACTTTGAACTGATGTGAGACTTTGGAAAAAGTGCAGAGAAGAGCAACTAAGATGATCAAAGGCCTGGGAGAGTAAAACACATGAAGAACAGTTGCAGGATTTGGGTTTAGCTAGTCTAGGGAAAAGAGGGGGGACATGATAGCAGTGTTCCAGCATTTGAGAGGCTGCCACAAAGAAGAGGGAGTCAGATTATTCTCCATAGCACCAGAAGGCAGGACAAGAAACAATGTTTGAAAACTAACTAAAGAGAGAAGCAACCTGGAATTAAGGAGAAAATGACTAACAGCGAGGACAATCCACTAGTGGAACAGAAGTTGCCATCAAAAGTTGTGGATGCTTCATCACTGGAGGTTTTTAAGAGGAGACTGGACAGCCACTTGCCTGAAATGGTCTAGTCTAGGCTATAGCCCTGAATTCCTGTGTCATGTTCCATTCCCAAATATTAACCAATTTTTATTTGGACAGGACAGGGCAGGACAGGAAAGGGAAGAGAGAAGGGACAAAGAGGGAAGGGAAGGGAGAAGGGAAAGGAAGGAATAAGGGATAAAGAAAAAGAGAAGAAAAGAAAAGGAAGGAAGGAATAAGGGACAAAGGATAGGATGGGATGGGATGAGATGAGATAGAATAGAATAGAATAGAATAGAATAGAATAGAATAGAATAGAATAGAATAGAATAGAATAGAATAGAATTCTTTTATTGGCCAAGGGTGATTGGACACACAAGGAATTTGTCTTCGGTGCAAATGCTCCCAGTGTACATAAAAGAAAAGATACAATCATCAAGAATCATAAAATACAACACTTAATGGTAGTCATAGGTTCCTAATAAGCAATCAAATCATTTTAGGAAACAAATAAAGCAATATATATCATAAGGATACAAGCAACAAGGTTATAGTCATAAGTAGAAAAGGAGATAGGTAATAGGAAGGAGGAGGAGAATAATAGTAATACAGCCTTACTAAATAGTCTGACAGTGTTGTGGGAATTAGTTGTTTAGCAGAGGGATGGCATGGGGCTGGGGGGGGACTGTCCTTGTGTCTAGTTATTCTGGTGTGCAGTGCCCTATAGCGTCGTTCTGAGGGTAGAAGTTGAAACAATTTATTGAAAAGTAAGGAAAGGAAAAGAAAGGAAAGGAAAGGAAAGGAAAGGAAAGGAAAGGAAAGGAAGAAGGGACAAAGGAAAGGAAAGATGAAATGGGGTTGAAGAATTCTTATCAAGGCAATTATCACACTGGAGTGGCTTACAGTATTAGACAATGGCCCTCTAAGTAACTCTAGGCTCTGATACCCCCACTCACTTAAAACACAATTAAATCATATAAAAAGGCCATCTGAAAATAGTTCTCTAAAACGACTAGGCCAAAAAAAAATGTCTGCAAAACATAATTTTTAAGATACAAGTGATGCAGCAATTCTGAAGATTCTCATTGAGAAGACCCATGAAAATCGTAGTATTTTTTTTCTTCCAAAGATTGGTTAAAAGGAGGAGGATTATTAAATTACAAAGAAGATACTAGCTAGATGGATGGATAAATAAATAGATAAATGATAACTATCTAGATAGCTATCTTCTATCATCCACATCTATCTTTGTCTGTCTTGTCTCTCTATCTCTCTACCTCTCATCTCTCTCTCTTTCTCTCTCTCCTTACCTACCTACCTATCTATCTTAGTTATCTATCCATCTCTCTCTTATCTCCTTCTCCCTCCTTCCTTCCCTCCCTCTC